ATGTGTCCAAAGATGTTACATTCTTTGATTCTATTCCCTTCTTTTCCTCTTCTCGTCCTTCTCTTCAGGGGGAGAATGCTAGTGAAGATCGGACTCCTTTTTGTATGCCGATTCCTGCTCCAGCTGTAAATGGTATAGTCGATCCTTCTCCTTCTCCTCTTCCTCCTTGTGGTGGTAGTAATACTCCTCCTGTGCCTCCTCCTCTTCCTCGGTCTTGGCACCAATGGTTCGTTAGACGAAAAAAGAGGATGACTCCAGAGATTGAATGTCCATTACAATCTGACTTCCCGGACTCAGGTAATCTGGATTCTAAACCTCCTCTTGTTTCTGATATTTGCGGTGAACCTGTTACTGAGCCTCCTAGTATGGTTTCTAACCTTAACCTTCCTATTGCGGTTCGTAAAGCAAAAAGGACATGTGCTAAATATCCTTTCTCAAATTATGTCTCTTATAATACCTTATCTCCCTCTTATTGTGCCTATATCTCTTCCATTGCTTCTGTTTTTATCCCTCACAATGTTACTAAGGCAGTGCAGTTCCCTCATTGGAAGGATGCTATGAACCAGGAAATGGAGGCGCTTGAGAAAAATCAGACATGGGAAATTGTTTCTCTTCCAATGGGCAAAGTTCCTGTTGGATGCAAGTGGGTTTACACAATGAAGCATAAAGCTGATGGCTCAGTTGAAAGGTATAAAGCTCGACTTGTGGCAAAAGGCTACACTCAATCTTACGGCATTGATTATCAGGAAACCTTTGCTCCAGTAGCCAAGATGAACTCAATTCGAGTTATCATTATTCTTAATGCCCATTATTCTTGGCCCTTGTATCAAATGAATGTTAAGAATGCATTGCTTAATGGCGACCTTCAGGAAGAAGTTTACATGGAACTTCCTCCTGGAGTGAACATCCCGGGGAGTGAAGGAAAGGTTTGTCATTTGAAGAAATCCCTTTATGGCCTTAAACAGTCCCCTAGAGCTTGGTTTGACAGATTCAGAAAAGCTACCTTAAAAATTGGCTTTTCTCAATCTCAAGCTGACCATACCTTGTTTATCAGGAGAGCAAATGGAAAAGTGACTATGTTGATAGCATATGTTGATGACATTGTTATTACAGGGGACGATATCTCTGGAATTGTTGAACTAAAGTCTTTTCTTGATACTGAATTTGAAATTAAAGATCTTGGAAATCTTCGGTATTTCCTAGGGATTGAGGTCGCAAGGTCAAAGAGAGGCATTTATATTTCTCAGAGGAAATATGTCCTTGATCTACTTTAGGAAGTAGGGAAATTGGATTGTAAACCAGCTGAAACTCCAATTGATCCCAATCATAAGTTGGGAGTTGATGATGGAGATGTCCTTCCTGACAAAGTTGTGTATCAAAGACTTGTCGGTCGCCTTCTCTACTTGTGTTTGACTAGACCAGATATATCATATGCTGTGAGTGTGGTTAGCCAATATATGCACAAGCCTAGATCATCTCATATGCATGCAGTGAATAGAATACTAGCCTATTTAAAAGGATGTCCAGGAAAAGGGATGTTGTATTCTAATCATGGGCATCTCAAGGTAGAGGCTTATTCTGATGCTAATTGGGTAGGTTCTATTGATGATAGGTGGTCTACTTCTGGCTATTGTACCTTGGTGGGTGGTAATGTTGTATCTTGGAGAAGTAAGAAACAATCAGTTGTGGCTCGATCTAGTGTAGAGGCAGAGTATAGAGCTATGGCTCATGGAGTTTCCGAATTGTTATGGTTGAACTTGTTGACAGAAATGGGAGTGCAGATTGATACTCCAATGATATTATATTATGATAATCAAGCAGTCATAAACATAGCCCACAATCCTATTCAACATGACCGTACAAAGCATATAGAGGTTGATCGGCATTTCATTAGAGAAAGAGTTTCCAGTGGAGAGATTTGTTTACCTTTTGTGAGGGCTGAAGATCAATTGGCTGATTGTCTTACTAAAGGTGTCTCTACAAAGCTTGACAACAATTTGAACAAGCTGGGCATGACAAATATCTATGCTCAGCTTGAGGGGGAGTATTAATGTAAAGGCATTTATGTCCTTTCGTCCTTTTTTTGTATTCGGGTGCCTTTTCAAGGGCCCATTTGTAATTTTCTTAAAAATATTAAGAAAGCTCGTCGGGAGTGAACAGTAACATACCTGATTTCTTCGACAAACTCCTCTTCTTCCTCTCTTCTTCTTCTTCTTCTCCTCCTCCTCTTCTTCTTCTCGAATCTCAAGTACTTTAACTGATTCTATCTCCCAACTCTAAGCTCTGGATTTTGGCATGGACTTTGAGTTTCACTTTTTAAAACTTCCTTTGCATCTTCCTTCTTGTTAAAAATAAACATGAACAAGCCTGCATTTAATCTTCTAACCCTCACACCACCAACATTGCCCACTCTTCCATCTTTCAACTTCAAATTCTTCTGGATCTAACTGCTAGGCAAGACTCTAGCAGCTAAAATCTTTATTTTAACCTACCTGAACTCTTCACAAAGACCATTGTAATGCAATTGATCTCCATTCTCCAATAAGAAAGATTGTGTTGTCAAACTCCACCCTTCATCTCTAATGAAATACTTCATGTAGATATGGTTATGATTGCTGCTTATAGCAAGCAGCAAGCTACATGAATCATGTTCCACCATTTTTCCTATTAAATACCATACCCATTGTTAAATCATGGGCCCTTAAATCATTTCTCATTACCTCAACCCATGTCCTTTTTGGCCTGCCCTTAGATCATTTCTAGCCCCC